ATAAAAAAAAACATTACAATACTACTTTTGCGTTGTATGAAAATTTTTGTTGCTCCGTATAAAATTTTTAATCAACCCCCTCCCCCCCCCCGGTCAAAGGTGTCCCTCTTTACCAATCTGAAAATCTGGTCACCTTATATTTGGAAGTCTTTAAAATCACACCAATTAGTTCCATGCTTATGAATAACTTTATTAGGTACATGGGCAAATCAGCATTTCATTTATTGATAAAACAACAAAGAAATTATTTCAGAAATCATAAAAAACAGAAATGATTAATAACAAATAAATATTAAATGATTATAGATTTTGAGATTCATAATAAAAGCATAATTTAAAATATATAATTGTTATGGATTCAAGAATGGTCAATGACCATTGGTAATGTATATAGGATTACTGAGGACTTTTAGAACTATATTGATTTTAAAATACTATAATGCTTTCAGGTTGACATGCCTATTCAAAATCAGTAAATTGCACATTTCAATCTTGTCAGTGTTATATATTTGTGACTAATTCTTTATCAGATTTTATATTAAGTAGCTTTAAGAAAAAAATTCTCATTTGGAAATAAATCTATTTCATTCAGTGAATTTTAATGGAATTGGAGGAGGGGAATTCTATTTATTATTTTCTATTTATAACTATCCTATATTCATTCAGTGTTCCCATTTCTTATATCATGCTTCCCCTAACTCCATTAAGGTGAAAAGGCAGTTCATGCCTTTGGACAGTTGTAATTTTTCTCATTCAAATAATTCAAATAATGTTGGCAGGTCAAGTTCTACATAACAGTATATTGATTTGTAAATCATTACAATATTGGAAAGATTAAAACACCATTATATTATATTTAAAACACAAATATTTCTTGGCATTACATAAAACAGAATGCACCTTTCATTTCTAATCTGAAAAAAGGCTGAATCAACATTGTCTATTTGAAAAAAAATATTTTTTTGCTAGAAAGGCAGAAAACTCCAGTGAAAACAAACAAGAAGACTAGATATACTTTGCATATCTGAAGAACTTGTCAGTTATTCTGATTAGCTTGTCATATTGGTTATCCTGCTTTGCATCTCATCCAGTTCAGGAATCTTTGCTTCAGTATATAGATGCATCATCATATGGACCAAAATGAGATGAATGCATTCTTGGGCTGGAGGGAGAGATTCTGCCATGACAAGGGGACAATTGCTTGTAGAGGAGTTTTAGGTGCCTTCTGAATTTCACTCCAACAAAGACGTACAGGATTGGGTTGATGCAGCAGTGACAGTAGGCTACTTTGCGACTGATATCAAAAGCAAAAAAGATATGATTGCGAGTTTGACAGTCTGTCTTGATGACATGCTGAATAGACAAAACGTACACAAAGTTAAACACGTTGTAAGGAGCCCAACTCAGGAAAAAGACCACCACAATAGCAAATATGAGTCTCACAGTTCTGTACTTCCTTTGAGACCGTGATCTAAGCAAAATTTTAAGCATTCCAATGTAACAAGCTATGATAACAAGAAAAGATAGGAGGAAAAATGTTACTTGCAGGCTCATCTCTATCATTTTCCAGAAGAATGACTCTTCATACTCACAGTGTTGTTTGTCATGATTATCAATTATGACTTCAATAAAAATGATCTCAGGTACCGCAACCATTATGCTGCTGCTCCAAATGGCCATGCTTACCAGAATGCTACATTTTTTGGTCTGTATTTGCATGGTTGATAAGGGATCAACCACAGCCAGGTACCGCAGAATAGTCATGATAGTGAGAAAGATGATACCACCATAGTAGCTGATAGAAAAAATAGCACTTACTGTCTTGCAAAGAAAATCACCAAAAATCCATCCATAATAATGATATACAATCCAGAAAGGCAGAGTGCATGAGAAAGTCAAGTCAGTGATGCAAAGGTTCAGGATGAAGAGGTTTGTTAAAGATTTGATGTTTTCATATTTCATCACAATCCACAAGACAAGGCTATTTCCTACCAAGCTGAAGAAGAAGATCAGAGAATAAAGGATGCAAGTAAATACAGCACTGAATCTGGAGGTCTCATCCATATTACAATAATTTGTTTCTATTGGGATATATTCATAAAATGTTGAATTTGAGGTCCATTCATTATCATCTGTTAGGTTAGTCATTTGGATTTGTTGCAAGCTTTCTCACTTCTGCAACTGAGAGGAGTGTTTCTGAAACAAACAAGCTAAAAAGTATTGGTAATAGCAAAACAAAGAAAAGAAGAAGGAAATCATCTGCTATCCACTCATTTTTGAATTGCTAAAACTGGATTTCCCTGAAAATAAGACCTATCTCAAAAATAAACCCTAACCCCTACTTAACCAACTGCACAGCCTGCCCATTCCATTGCTGACGCAAGGTGAGGAGAGAGGGAGTGGAGCTGCCCCACAAGCATACCAGCTTACCTCAGGGAAACACCCCCACCAGCCAGGACATGCACACCCTGACAACTGCCTTATGGTGGCAGCACCATCACCCATGTGCAGGAGCTCATGTGGCCACTAGCCCATGTCTGATTGTTTGCAACTATAACAAAGCACTTGGCCCTGAGATAAGCTGCTTTGGGGCATGTGAGGCAGCTGTCCCAGCCTGCCTCATGGTTGTGGCACTGGCATGTTGCTCAGCTTGCTCCCTTGCATCCATGAGCAAGCAGAAGAGGGCCAGAGGCAGTGGTGGGATTCAAACATTTTTACTACCAGTTCTGTGGGCATGGCTTGCTTAGTGGGCATAACTTGGTGGTCATGTGACTGGGTGGATGTGACTGGATGGGTGAGAGTTGGTGATCAGGTGACTGGGTGTGCATATCTGTTTGGTCATGTGACTGGATGGGTGTGGCCAACTTAACCACTCACGTCAAGAAGCCCCTTGCCTGGCCTCTCCTCTCCTCAAAGGGCTCAACAAGATACAATTTCCCTGTCTATTTATTTATTACTACTGAACATACAACATATACTATCTAATCCTATGTATATATCATATGTGTACATACATATTACATAGTATAGAGTGCGTATAGGCACACAAAAAGATACATTATCTACTATATATACTGTATGTGTATGCACACACACACACACACACACACACACAGACAGAGCTTTTCAAAATCTATACACATTCAACTTTGCTTACTGCATTTGGAAAAATACACCCAGAGTCCACTCCATGGGGGGGGGGGGAGAGGCAAGCTCCAGGCAATAGTAGCCCCGGAGCCACTCCACGCATTCTCCAGCGACTTGTTTTCTCGCCAGTGATCTCTTGCTGGAGAGAGAGAGTGTCTTTCACAGCACTGCACTTTGGGGACACATCCAGAAATCCAGGCACAGAGAAACAGCCAGGATGAAGGCAGGTACTTTCAGTGCTCATGTGGAACTGAGGCTTGGAGCAGTTTTGGAGCTTGTTATGGAGAACCGCTCCTCTGCCCCAGCCATGCGTTTTCAAGCCCAGAATGCTTGAAGTGAAAAGCTATTGCAACAGCCCAGGGTTGAAAATTGCTCCAAGCCTCAGTTCCAGTGGGTGATGCTGGCTTGCCTTTCCCTCTGCCACCAGCCGCAGGAGGAAAGTAAGGTTGTGAGCCCAGTGGGAACAGAGGGGGACCCGCAGCAAGCTAGGCTACAGGCAGCACAACCTGGAATAGAACTGTGCCAGGTTGTGGTGGCTTAGCCAGACATGCGAGCACAGTGGGGACAGTGGGCCCTGCGGCTAGTATGCCACAGGCAACATAGCCTGGAATGGAGCTGCAGTGGACTATGGTGGCTTAGTGAGATGGGGTGGATAGAGCAACTCACAAGATTACCTGTAGGCAGCACAGTTGGGGTGTGGGAAGGCAGTTTAGGCAGGCAAGCCACAGAGCAGACTGCTGGGCAGGGCTAGTGGGTGGGGCAAGCAAACAGCAGGCAGGCAGACAGGGTGGGATAAGCCAGGGGTTACTACCAGTTCAGCGAACCAGGCCAAATTTCCCCTAATGGTTCACCCAAACCAGTTGAATATAACTTCTGGCCAGAGGCCACATTGGGTCTTGCAGGTTGGGGTTTCCAGAGCCACCATCATGAGGTGAGGTAGATGTCGAGGTGTGGGTGACCTAGCTGCAAGAACCCTGAGGTAAGTCAGTGTGGGGCACATGGGGTAACTCCAGCCCCCCCATGTCACCTACTGGCCACAGCACCAGAGCGTTGTTCAGTCCCCTGCTCTGTTGTGGCCGTGAACAAGCAAAAGTAGGCTGGCGGCCATGTAGGGTCCGGCTGGATGTTGCTGCTGGAGTGGATCAATTTAATATGGCCACTTATTGTGCTAGGTGGCCAAAGATGTCTGCTAGTCTGAGATTCAGTCAGTACTCACCGCATTAAAGACATAAAGTTCATTGAAGAGAGAAGAATATATCAAATAATGATTCCTGCAGGAATGATTGCCCATCTCCTGACTCTTGATATTGCAATAAACATTTAAGGACCATTAGCACATGGAAATGAATGACTACATTGAAAATAGCTTGGAGAGAAATAAGTGTGGAAACTTTATGAAGCCTAGCCTGCCAGAGGTTGTGACTTGGGTGAAGAATTCATGGGATAAAATCACTTACACCTGTGTTGCCAATGCACTATGAGCAGGTTACATGGACATAAGAGATTGGGGCCAATGGTTTTAAGGAAATAGTCACAAGATATTTAGGCTGGAATTTGGGGTTTGGAGAGTTATGACAAAGTTCCAGAAAAAGATGACATGGCTGTATTTGAATAAATGTAGATTTTTTAATATATATCAGCATTGTAGTTGCCCTATGTTGAGGGTTAGGTTTGGCATTCTGGTTGCCCTGGGTGTGTTTGTTGGGGTTTGGGCTAAGGTTAGGCATGGGTATCCTGACTGTGAGGGCCCTGAGGTAAATCAGTGTGGGGCATGTGAGGCAGCTTCCCCCACCTCAACTCATGGCTGTGGCACTGGCACATTGCTCAGCCTTCTGCTCCCTTACAGGCATGAGCAAGCAAAAGACGTGGGCCAGAGGCCACACGGGGTCTTGCTGGACAGGGCTGCCGGAGCCACCATTGTGAGGTGAGGCACATGCCAGGGTGTGAATGGCCTGGCTATGGGAGCCCTGAGGTAAGTTCCACCCCCGCCTCACCTCCTGGCCACAGCACCAGACAGTCACTCAGCCTCCTGCTCTATTGGGCAGATGTGGGGTCCTGCTGGATGGAGCTGCTGCTGCTGCTGCTGCTGTAAGGCAAGGCAGGTGGCAGGGTGTGGATGCAGTGGTGGGATTCAAATAATTTAACAATCAGTTCTCTGCTGGGTAGGCATGGCTGGGTGGTCATGTGACTGGGTTTGGTGTGGCCAACTTGATTTCATTCACCACATCTAGCCCCACCTCCTTGCTACTTGTCTCAAAGGTCTCAACAAGATACAATCTCTATTTATTTAGTACTACTGCACATCAATGGTGGCAAGGAAAATCACAAAAGGGAGCAAAACTCACTTAAATCTTGCTTAGCAATGGAAATTTTGGCTCAGTTGAGATCATAAATCAAGCAGAACCCCTAAAGAGAATGTAGGCTAAGGAGCCTACTTTGCTCACCCCTTTAGGGTGACTTTCAAGAAACATGTCAAGATGAAAAATTTTGGGTGCAGGTGTTGGTGGTGTCGCCGAACTGGTGTTGGTTGGTGGGGGAGCCATGATCAACTTGACAGCCATCAGAGGAAGGCAGGGAATCTGAACTAGGGCAGCGCTCCCAGTGAGAAAGCCCTTTGGTTGCTTCTCATGCAAGAAGATGGGTGCTACGCTGCTGCCTTGGGAGTTAGGGGTCACCCTAAGAGCCATGCAGCAGGCCCAATGTTCACTCACTTGCTTACTTTGCTCTCCTGCCTCCACTCTTGCAAGTTGCCTTTTCTTTTCCTGGCTCCTCTCGTCCCAGAATGCTCCACTCTATGCTAGCAGCCACCCCCTTCTCCCTCTTCACTGTGATCCTGTGTGAAGAAGGGCTCCACTGCTGCACTTTATTAAAAAAATTGGAAACCTCCAATACGGTGGCCAAGATCGAATCCTGAGTCAAAACCCCCCAGCTCTCTCCTCCCTACTTGGTGCCTCTGCTTCATCTTGCTCACTTGGGCCTAGAGCCTGAGGAAGGATGAAAAATTTAATGGGTTGGAGGAGGGGAAAGACTAAAATACAGTAGAGTGAGGTGCATGAAGTTTCAGCTTTCTTAGCTTGGACCAGCAAAAGGTGGTGGACGGTGGTGGAAGGGAATGCAAAGACAACAGGAGAGATGGAGCAGTGCTTGGCCATCCAGGCTTCAAAGAAAATTTTGTTTTAGGGCAAAGGGTGCAACCAACACCTCTTTCTAACTGTTTCTGCTAAGCTCCAGATCCTACAAAACAAGCCATGGTGTTCAGTCCGTGAGCCCGCCTCCTGCCTTTCTAAAGGAACACTTCCCTGCTTGCTTTCCACTGCTGTCCCACCCTTCACCGGGTCACCTTTCTTTGTCCAAACGTACGCACAGAGCAAACATGTGCACACTTCATGGTGCTGGAGGGAGTCACCCATGTGCCATCTCCTCGCAGAAGATCCCAGTGCCATGAGGTATGTGAGGTTTGCCTTGTATGTATGTTTGATGCCGAGAAGGAGGAGACGATTTGGCTGAACTTTTCCTGCCTGTTTTCGCAACGAAGCTGCTTGGAAGGCAGCCACCGCAGCCTGTCCCTTTAAGGTACCATATTTTTCATAGTATAAGACACACCTTTCCCCCCCCAAAAGGAGGGTGAAAATCTGGGTGCATCTTATACACTGAATGCAGCATTTTTGGTCTACTGAAGCCCCACCCCCTTTGCAAAAAACAAGGCATGCAGAGGGTTTGGGAGGCCTGCAGAATGCAAAAACTTTTTTTTTTTTTAAATTATCTCTTCAAAATCATGGTGCACCTCATACTCCGATGCATCTTATAGTCCGAAAAATATAGTACTTTGATACTGCTCACTGTCCAGCCCTGTGGAAAGGCAGCCAAGTGGGTCCTGGTCACTCTCCTGGTCCTGGTCACCATGTAAGCTGAAGCCCGGTGGGGGGGGAGGGGATGATCTTAAAGGGACAGGCGATGGCAGCTGCCTTCCAAGCAGCGTCTGAGGCAGGAAAACTTCAGCCAAGTTGTCTCCTCCTTCTCAGTCTTAACAAACACATAGAGCAAACATGCATACACTCGCATATGTGCTTCTCTTGATTCTTGGGCAGGTTTTGGATATGTACAAACAGTACATATACATCTGAATTCAAAAAGAAAAAGAAAAAGAAAAAAACACATATTACAGTGCACCCCCCTGGAGACCCTTCACCCAAACCAGCTGAATACAATCTCTTTATATAATATAATATTATATATATAATAATCTATGTTTAATATCCTTCTTACTATAGCTGACATTTGTCAGTCTCTTATAAATCCACACTGGTTATTTTTAATATAATTCTTTTTAAATATATTCAATCTATTTGCCAATATTTTTTAATTTTTTTTTAATTTAAAANGAGCCCTCCTCGGCAACAGGCCACGCCCCCAGGAAGTCCCCTTTAGGAGTATCTCTTGATCCTTGATTAGCTCATCACTTCTGTACACTAGCTGAGTTCATACATTAACCTCAGAATCAAGTTACTGTACTTTTCGGAGTATAAGATGCACCAAAGTATAAGACGCACAAGATTTTGAAGTGGCAAATTTGAAAAAAAAAGTTTTTGCACTCTGCAGACCTCCAAAAATGGCCCGTTTTTTTGTGAAAATTGACCCCCCCCTTTTAAAAAAAGGGGCATGAATAGCCTTTAGGAGGTTTGTAGAGTGCTCCTGGGGGGGGGGGCAAACAAGCAGAATATTGCCCGTTTTTCATAAAAATGGGCCGGTTTTCTGTCACAAAAAGAGCATGCATATCCTTTAGGAGGCTTATAGAGTGCTCCTGGGAGCTGGGGGGGGGCAGGCAAAACTGAGCAAAAAATGGCCTATTATTTGCTCATTTCTGCCCTCCCCAGCCCTCCAGGAGCACTCTGCAAGGCTCCTAAAGGCTATTCACAGACATTTTGATGAAGGGGCAGTGTTTCAGGAGGCAAAAAATGCTGTATAAGATGCATCAGTGTATAAGACGCACCCAGATTTTCAGCCTCTTTTTTTGACGGAAAAAAGTGTGGCTTATATTCAGAAAAATATGGTATTTGTCTTTGCCTTGTTCTGAGCAATTCTAACTGTTATGGTTTGTAGATCTGTGGTTTAAAGGTCAGTTTTTCTTGTAAATCCAGTAAATTCCGATTTCTTTTTACAAGATGTGCTAAACCAGCCACTGAAACAACCAACTACCACGTGTCATGAAATATATATGTAGCTGGGGGGCGGGGGGGAAGAAAGTGAAATGGGGAGGTTTTGGCGGGAAGAGAAGGAGTCAAAGCAAGAGGAGGAAGGAGGCATTTTTCTGGGGGGAAGCCAAAAGGTAAGAATAGGAAGGAATGCTTGGGGAAAAGGAGGCCTGAGAGGATAGGAAAAGAGGCTTAAGGGGGAAATGGAAAAAGAGGCCTGGGGAAAGTGAGAGGGAGTGAAGGCAATAGGGAGGATAGGAGAGGATTATGTAGGGCAAGCCTGAGGGAGAGAAGAGGAATAGCATAGGAGTAGCTTCTGTAGGGCAAACAGATGAATCCATGAAGGAGCAGAGGTGATGAAAAGAGAGCCCAGCAGGCAATTCAAGAGAGAGGGAGGAAGGGAGAGAGGGAGGAAAAAGGGTCAACCAGTCACATGAATACCATCTCATCACATTACCTGCCTGCTGTGAAAAGATTGACCATCACCCCTCCAGGTGACCAGCCTGCTGTGAGGAGACTGACCACCACAATACTACATGACCCAGGCAAGTAGAGGTGCCTGAGCAAGGGTAAAGTGACCAGATTTTAAGATGGGTAAAGTGGGACATCATTGATGGAGAGGGCACGGAGCACCTGAGCTGTAAAAATAAAAATAAAAGAGGGCTGTAAAACCATGAAGCGTTACACCTGCAGCTGCCGCCGCCTCCTCCGCCGTGCTTTTGAGGAGCATGGGGCCTTTTTTTCCTGCTCCCGCACCCTCCATCTCCTTCCTACTGGCTCCCATGGCCTTGTGGCTCCTCAAAAGCACGGCGGAGGAGGCGGCGGCAGCAGGGGTAATGCTTCATGGTGCTTTTATTTACAGCCCTCTCGGAACAGTTTACAGGATGGAAAAAACCCTTTCAAAAGCCACCCCCATCGCCAGTCTCTCCCAACTGGATCCCCGTCTGCCTCCCCTCGGCTCACCTGGACCAGGTTGCTGACGGCGGCTTGCATGTCTGGTCACCTTAAGCAAGGGACCACTGTGGACTGGCAACCATACCAAGAGGGCTAGGCGAACCTGGACTCCAGCAGCTCTTTCAGGGGGTAGTGCTACATGTACATTTAATCAAAGATTGGGAAACCTGTGGCCTTTCAGATATTGCTGAACTATAATTCTAAGTCCTATAATTTGCAGTATAGCAGAAATTGGAGAGTTACACAGATTTAACCAATGAAGAGTAGCAAATATGAAAATAGGATGCAAAATTCTTTGCTTGGATAATGTGTATATTATTATATACAGAAATACTTTAACTGTAGCAAGATAGAATAAAATAATCACATCACGCTTTCTAGTGTGCTTTGTTTTTCAATAAACCTCATTGAAATACACCTTTACGTTTTGTGAATTTTGCTTCTTCCCAACGTAAACTGTTTTGCAGCTTAGGTTTTGAAGCATGAAATACAATCCTATGTTCTTACTTAGGTTGGAGTGCTATTATCAGTAATTGTGACAAGAGGAAATACTTTTGCCAAAGTAGCTATTTGGATAGGGTGACCAGACGTACCAATTTCAGCGTGACAAGCACGCTTTATAACAATTTTTCCCGTGTCCCGCCGCCTTTTTAAAAAGTCCCGATTTTCTGGCTTCATGTTGAAAGCCCAGTGGATTTGCTTAAGAAATCCTAACCGGGGCAAGACAAAAGACACCC